CTAATGATTAATATAGAGATGTTGATATGATTGGAAGTGAGCTAATGTGAGGCAAAATTAAAACGGTAATGTAAAAGTTATAAGAACAATTATATGAAACAAGGATTGGACCCTAGAGCACTTGCTAACTCCTAAATTTCCTTAAAATAAATATGATTTCATCTTCATGACTTCCACGTTCATTTAGTAATTCAACAAGATCCCTCAAAATTGAATCCTAAAGTAATTAATCTAAAACATGATTCCTCTATGTTTTATGATTAACACTTTGCATTAAGAGCAATGACTTGAACAAGGTGACTAAACAAATCAAGTCTATTCCTAGAGCAAGAGATGTTTAGGTGCAAGATTCAGTTCGGGTTTTCAAAAACGTTTTCCAACCGGATTCAAAAACCAAAAATCATACAACGGGTGATCAAGCCGATATAAGCATTAAGAGAAGAATCAAACACAAGTAATGAAAATGAAATGCATATATATATTTAAGAAGAAGAAGAGTTAGTAGTTACATCTAGACCAATCCTCAAAGATTTAGCCCCTCATGGCCATTTACAAGATCAAAGGAGTGGAAGAAGAAATTACAAAGGAAGAGATGAAGAAAAGGAGTTGATCCTCGTTCCCAAGTGATCCAGCCTCCAAATCTTCGTTCCCACTCTGTTCTTTCTTCCTCCTGTGCTCCCAGCTCTTGTTTTTCTCTTTGTTTTCGTCTCTCTTCCCCCTTTTCTCTCTCCCCTGCCCTTTTATAATTGCTAGAATTAAAACAGAGTAGGCAGGAAAGAGAAGAATCCGCTCAGCGCCTTGAAACGGCTGAGCGGATTGGGAGTTCTTCACCATGAAGAAACCTCAAGGGCTGAGCGCCTGAGATCCGCTGAGCGCTTTAGAGGCAGAGAGCACCCCTTGTTCCTGGATGAAATCCGCTGAGTGGATGGGAATGGCTGAGCGGATTGAAGGCAGAGAGCACTCCTTCTCCTCCAAGGTCAATTCGCTGGGCGCTTTGAAGTGGCTGAGCGCCTTGAGTTTGGGAAGTTCTCTGACCTGATTCCGCTGAGCGCTTTAGAATGGCTGAGCCATTCTTCTCCAGGTTTCAAAACCTACAAAATAAGCACCAAATTGGATCAAAGGCTTCCTATTCCCTGTACTAACATTAATCAAAAGCACCTCTTTGATTCTAAGCATATATAGATCAAAATAATATCAATATGTACACAAAATGTGCTAGATAAGTGTCTCAAGTGAGTATTAAATCAAACTAATTAGATACTTATCACTTATTAGGCTTGATTAGACCATGAGAGAGTGGGTTGTATTAACCTAAAGAAGTGGATGTCCATTCTCATTGAATTCTCTCTCATTAGTTCAAACGAACCCTCTAAGTCACATGTTCATAAACTAGTCATACTTTTGACATGTTTGCTTCTACATCTTGTTTTTCTTCTTCTACTAATACACCCGTCATCACACCTTTTGCACTTTGTCATATGGCAAACTTTCATTTATTGTTTTAGATCTAGATTGGGACGTCCCATTTTGCTGAGAAAGTTCAAATTTGAATTTAAAATTTGAACTAGAGTTGGTTAACTCAAGTATAAGTTAATTAACCTAACCTTAGTTACATTTAACCCTATCTGACTAGCTGAACTTACATCATAAGCTACCAAACTCTATATATATACATGTAACCCTCACATGACCCGTCACTTTGAACATATATTGAGATTTGAGTTTTCAAAATTCTTTCTTCAAAGTCTTGTTCTCTCTTTAGAGGATTTTCTTTTTAAGAACTTTTATCAAGAAATTTCTCCTTGTGACAAGTTCATCCTTTCTTGCTTATGTTTCATTTGAAAATGCTGCACCTTCATCTACCATTCCTCTTCCATTTTTGTTTTGTTTCTTTTCTATTTGGAGTCATTAATGAAGATTGAAAGAGTAAGGAAGCCAGATGAGAAGATTTAGTGATCATCTCTCCACTAGTTTCCATCAGAGATACATCTCATTCATGTTCCTAATGTGAGATAAGGTCGGGAAGCCACAAACACACACACAGACATAGTCACAAAAACAATGTAGAATAACATTCTCAATAAACAACATATACACATTAATAGTCACAAGAAAAACACACACACACACACATATAAGTCACAAAAACAATGTATAATAACATTCTCATGATCAATAAATAATATATACACATCAATAGTCACAAGACAATCATTAAAAGAAAAATACGAAGGATGCACTCACTCAATCTATATATACATGTAACACTATTCAAAACACAATACCTAAAGGCTCAAAGAGTAGGCTTAAAGTACATGTTGATGACTGACACTTGGCCAAAGATGCTTGCCACAGGAAAAATTTGTTGCAACAAATTACACCCTATGCACTTAGTAGATGAGACCGAGGTTGCCAACTCTCACTATCCTTAAGGTCTAGGTCATAAGACCACTAGGAGGCCTCCTTGATAATGTATTTACACCAATACTCTATCACAAGAACCCATTATTATGCACATGATGCATGTTACACAACCAAGAATTAGTGCACGACATATACATTTCTCAATTGTAAATATTCACTATATTAATTGTACCCAATTGTATTCACTATATCAACTAGCTAGACACTCATGTCTAGACTTTTCACAATGGTAGAACTCCATTTAGACTCCTCAAATGACCAATTGTAAACTTGGATTTCCCCTACTAAGTAGTTGCTTAAACTTATCTCATAACAACATTACATATATCTCATAGGCATAAGCAACTCATAACACAATGTCTCAAACACATAATTGTAATTCTTAACACTTCTCAAATACACAACACAATTACTCTTTAAACTTTCACATAACAAATCATAACACCATGTTTCTCTCAGTTTTCTCTTAGTTATTAGCACTCACCATTATAACTCACAAGATGTTTTTTTTCTTATTTAAAGCTTCTATATATGACCTCATGTGGTATAAAAACTATATATAGGGTTATAACTATGTTATCCAGTTGATCTTAATTTTACTAGAAAGTTAATAGAGTTATCTATAACTTCTATGTTGATCTCAAGTGATGGTTTTACCATATACTATTCTTAAAATTACAAAATTGTACTATTTAAGTCTAACTATGACAAGTTGACTTTAACTCACTAATTTGATCTTAACTTAACTTCACAACATTCTTTTTAAGAGATTACAAAGTCATTGGTTAGCTAACATCCAAAATCTTATGAAGATCGTGAAGCCTAATTTGGTCATATAATATGCTTAATTAGGCACACAACTTTTTGCACAAATTAAAGCCTAATCTAAGAGTTTCAACTCATCCTTAATTAAGTCAATTATTCAATCAATTTAATTACCAATTCATTCTATTAGATTTTAAGACTCCTAGGGTTCCACACACATATCCCTAAATTATCTCTTTAGAGTTAAAACCCAAACCTCCAAACACTTTAATTAATCAATTTTTAACATTATTACTACTCTATGAATTTAAGGTTCTTAAGGGTTCTTACAATACCTTAAGAGTTCTCAATGAGATTCAAAACAACCATTTACAAAACAATTATGAAAAAATGTACAATTTCACAATAGTTACATTCAATCCAAGTCAAACAATTGAAAGTCACCCAAAACAACAAATCTAGGGACTCTTGTAGGCCCTTTCACAAAACAAAGAAACAAACAAAGAGATTGAGTGTTAATTCTACTATTCACAATTACCTGGATAAAATTCTTACAAAGACAAGGGTGTTGTGTTGTGAACTCCTCCTTCACTAGGTCTAAACTCCTTTACTTTGGATTTTGATGGAATGAGAGTGTTCCAAGGGACAAACAAAAAACAATAGTACTAGGTCAAACCTAATATTCTCTTTTTTAGGTTAACCAAAGGTTACTGGACAAGGACTAATCCAATAACATAAAACACTTTTAATTTTAAAATCTCTTCTTATTAAATGAAAAATATGATTTTATTTTCAAAAGCCTTTTTTTTATCTCAATTAATTAGTATTTTATTAAAATCAATATAAGTTATTTTAATTTCTAAAAACATATAATTAATCTCAATTCCTATTTTATTTTATTTTTTGAAAATTGAAGAGTTACATTACACCTTCAGCTTGAAACTTGTGGGGCTATGTACCCTCGCATATTGGAAATTAAGTTTGCCCTCAATTTTTGATCGAAATATCCACTACTTCTCACTTTGTAATAGGTTTTGGTGTCGAATTAGAAGGTCAACGTTACTAGTTGCTTGACTGAGTCAAAGTGTTGGTCATCAAGGATCATGTATCAAACTCTAACTAATTTATTGGAAGATATGGCGATACCCCATATCTCAAATTATAGAAGTCAGGGGGCAGGAAAAAGGGTGGTTAATGGTGAACTGCTTCCTAAGAAGCCGAAATGAGGGAGTTAAAACTTGAAAGAGTTCTTAAGGTTAGTCTAAGTTTTTTACAACTCACACTTGAATGCTATAACAATAAGACTTACCTATTACCGGAATAAGTATAAACATATTTTTAAGATTTAATATAAAATTCATGATGATTATTTATTTGAAAATATTTTATAATAAGATCTATATAGTATATGACATAAATATATCTTTCAATAAATTTATAAATTTTATTTTTTTATATAAGTCAAGACATCCTTAATATTTTAAACAATATAATTTTAATACATTAAGAATATAATATTATAATAAAATATTTATTTCTACATAAACAGCTTAATTTATTAAGTCTTTTTTTTTATAAATGAATTAAAAGTCTAATGTTTGATTAAATAAATTTTAGTAAAATTATTGACTTGAAAAAAAAAACCTTGAATAAGTGTGAACGTGATGTAAACTAGATCACAGACAAGATTTAGCCTATTTCTAGCCCTATACAAAGCATGCAAGTTCAAAATATGGAATCTCTCATTGCATGGCCCACCTTTGGCACTTGACACTCAACCAAACCCCATAATCCTCTAAACCCCCTTCTATAAATACCTCTTCCCTTCTTCTTTCCTTTCTCCTCTCTCTCTTCTTTGCTTATACCTCTTGCACTCTTATCTTCTACTCTTCTCGGAGGTCACAAGTAGTATTTGGCAACGAAGCCACCACCTCCGCCGCACCATAATCTTGGTAAGCCTCCATGCTCTATCTATGTTACTCTCCCTCTTTCTGTGTGTTCGCCAATCACCATCTTTAACCATTCCTTTTGCTTCCATATTGCAATATAATGCCATTATTCTATGTCCACCTCTCCAAATCGCATTATGCAGTGAATATTTCCGTTTCACTTCCTTGCATGTCATTCATATGTGGAATCCTCAACAGTCTCGATTCCATTCCATTTTCTGCCTTTTTTTTATAAATTAAAAATAATAATTGTCGGCGAGATTATGTCCGTCACCTCCACTCTTTTTCTTCGGTTGATTTTGATTCCCTTTCAATCACGGCTCCCATTAAATTTTTTTTTTTCATCACATTTAATAATAATCATGGTTTTTTGGTTTCATGGGAAAAAGCAGAAGGAAAAAAAAGTGGTGTGCACGAGAAACGAGAAAAGCGGTTGGAGTTCAGTTTCTTGGTTTTTCCTTTCTCTGCTTTGTATTGTCCCAAACAAAACAAAACAAGGAACGCAGTCGCACCTCTTCCCAACGCGCTTCACTCCAGAGCGTGTTGTCAGCGGTGAAGAAAAACCAAGGTAGGTTCCTGACACGCGCTCTTGGGCTTTGCCTCAGCCAGTGGGCCCTCAGACGTGTACCACACACGTGGCAGTTCGTTGGGCCCACGGCCCGTGGATCTGTGCCTACGTGAGATTGGGTGAAAGGACATGTGCCTAGATAACGGTTAAAGACAGTGGCATAGATTAGAATAGGAGCAACACAAAATGTTCCATTTCTGTCCCGTGTTGCCTCAGACTCATACACACTCACCTCTTTTCTTTGTCGTGTCAACTTATCACACTTTCCTCTGCTTTTCGCTCTCTATTTTCCCCCCTCCTTATTAAAATTATTTTCTTAAATATTAATTTTTAGTTTCTTCCAGCATTTTCCATTACGAAATGAAAAATAAGTGGAATTGCCGATTGCCTGCAGATGCTGCAACAAGCATCTTCAGAGCCTTTAACTCTCAACTACCTCTGGACAAGTATATTTATTATATGATAGAGAAAGACTTGTCTGATTTATCTATAATCTATAATACTAGTATATATATATATATATATACATGTGAGACTCTTTCTGTGTGCTGCTGCAGCTGTCGGTTTGTTGAGTCAATATATACTACTACTATAGTATATTTCTACTACAAGATTTCAGTTCGGACCCTATAAAAATTTAAGACCTAGATTTTCTTGTCTATAGGCCAGGACAAACGATCATTGAGATTATTATATAGCTACCCCCTTCATCTTCTTGCTTCAATTGGATTTTTATCTTTAATTTAAGAACAGACGTGTGTCTAATGCACACAGAAATTAATATATATATATATATGCTATTTTTATATAGTACAAAAACACTTATTTGTTCTTTTACTTAATTGTTAATTTTGGCTTTTAAGCTCTTTTTAATGTTTCCTTAAAAATATAAGTTGAAGCTTTTACGAAACAATTGAATCAATGACAAAGTTTTGCTGTCCTTATGAGAGTTCTATTGTGACAAAGACAACATTGACTGTACTTGAGTGCGAAAGAACTATATAATAAATACATGAAGCTGTTTGAAATCACAAAACCTGGATGCTGCATGGACCTTTCGTTCTGGTTACTCACTAGTTACATCTGTTATAGTCCTTTGTTGCTTTACTAAACACTCAACCGTTAATTAAAAAAATGCTAACAAGTGTTTAAAGACATCCACTGCAAAAAAAAAATGTCATGCAGTGATTTTTTTTTTTTATTCGTCCCTGGAGTATCTACCACTGATAGTGATAACTAATTTCCTCGCTACGTTGGAGACACCTCAAAAGGGATAGCTGGCCCCAAGATTTAATGTGGCTGCATACACAAGACAGAATTCGAACCCCTGACCTTGCTTAAGATGAATCAACCCTTATCGATGAACTACACGCTTAGAATTGTAGTGATTTATATTTAATAATAATATTATTTTTTATTAAAAATTATTTTTACTTACACTATAAATATAACATATTTATTAAAAAGTATAAATATAAATTATAATAATACATAATATATATTATTAAATCTTATTAAAATCAATATTAAAATTATATATAAATATATATTAAATAAATTTATATTCATATATATTATATTTATAATAATACTTTTTTTAATATATTATCATGTAATATTTATTATAGTGAATATTAGTGTATATTATTTTGGATTCCTTAATAGTTTTATAAGAGTACTATTCAGCGGACCCTAAGTGTCTCACTGAAATGTGCACGGGCCCTTCCATTTAATTGTCCTTTTTGTCTTTTCTTATATGAGGGTAGTAGTATTTTCTGTTTTTGTTTAGCTAGCTTTTCATGTCAATAGTTAGTTCTTTTTTTATTCTTAGAATGATATACTTCCTTGCATCGCTTTTCCTAGAACTAGAATTATATACTTTCATGGTAGAAAGTACGTACAATCCTCATAATTATTATAATAGATTTGACCAAATGAGATTAAATTTTGCCAATTATTTTTTTAAGAAGTACCAATAGTATTCATCTTTAGGTACAAATAGTTTTCTTTAGATTTGAGCAGTTTGTCGTATTAGGATGTCGGGGTCTCTGAATGACCAACCCATGTCTAGATGGGTGCACCTTACACTTCCCAGTTTCTCAAGCCTTCATCACCAACCGTTTTGTTAACCGACACGTGAAATCTCTTTGTCCTTTTATGATCGAATTAATTAACTAATATCCAATACATTACTTTTCTGTTAGTTGTTATTTGTGTTCAGACTATGGCCTCAAAAGTCAGGAATCCTTTTTCACTTGGCGTATCTTCAACTCCCTTTTACCTGTTGTTTTTAACTGGTATAAAAGTATATATTTCTGGTTTCTTGTTCTTACACGTGTATTATCTATGCGTGCCGCTTGTTGATTCTTATTTTTTTAATTTTTAGTGTTGTGTTGGTTTCTGATATTTCTTTTTCATTTTTATAGAACTTGTGGTTTGAGAACAAGTTCACCAATCTTGATTTGTCACTTTTCTTTAGAGGAAAAAACAGAGTTCAAACTGTTTTGCTAACCAGCATGTTTTGTTTATTCTGGGATCCTGAGACATAAGTCATTGTCTAATATAAAAGAAAGAAGTATAAATCATGTATAGAGATAGAGTCTGTGGGCATGAAATGATGTTAAAGGACACTGAATAAAAGACACTGAATTAAAGGTACCTGTAATTCACTCACTCACACTAGTTTAGTTAGGCTATATACTTTAATACTTATCTGGTTTAGATTTTAACTATATTTAATTATTTTTCTGGAAAGAAAAAGTGGATTTTCAATTTCTGTCTAATCTATTTGTCAATTCTGAGTAAAGCTAAAGATTTGTTTATTCAATGACAAGTAAAACCTATATATTATTTCAATGGAAACCATATATTTTACACTCCTATGATCTGGGTTGATCTAAAGGAACATTTTTCTTTAAGAATTTATTTCAACTTATTTAATACATTTGAAAGACAGACATTTGTTGTAGTTTCACTGCCCAGTTAGTGTTTTCCTAAACAAGGGCTGGTTTATGACTATGTATTTTTTTTTTTTTAATTTTAATTTTTTTGATAATTATAGTAATATTATGATCTTCAATTCCACATGATAGCAATAACAACACAGTACTGTTTCATTTTTGGTATAATTTGATTGTCAATTAGTACCCATATATTTTGTTAGGATTAGTAATAACCTTGAATATATTTGACCTAACTAGGTGTCAAATAAGATGTAGCGTTAGCGGAAGAAATATTTTGAGAATAATATAGATTACAAGTTTAAGAAAAGAAATTATAATTAATAATTTTTTGATTTTGCCTTGATACAAACTTATATTACTCTTATTTATACTAGTAGTTCTTTCTCAATCAATGGTTAGAATTTTGTTAACACAATTTTATAAGTCAAATGATTACAAATAACTCTCTAGAATGTTCTTCATAGATACAAACCTACTCACACATTCTAAACAATTCTATATGTTACTGTATAATTATCTTCTAAAGTAATTCTTCTAGAATATGCTTCTAGAATTTGACCTCAACACATTTCTATAAATTGAACTTTTAAGAATTATCTTGTTAATTAATGTACTTAAAGTACTTATATTAAGAAATCAAAATGCAAAAAGTTTTTGTTAAAAATGGTACATTAATTATATAGAAAAGTTTGCAGATATATTTTTCAATAAAAACTTTATATTTTTAATTTTTAATCAATACTTTTATAGCACTGCTTAATGTATTTTTAAGAGAAAATCAAGTTTATATTTCAATATTAGTTCTTCAAATGCATTATTTCTTCCCTGCATATGATATTGCAAGTCCTTTTCCTAGGGTTCAACCTGAACTCAAATGATTATTGTTGTTACTATTAGTCTCATCGTAGAATCCACTAGCACTAGGCAACAATATGCCTAATCACTGCTGTGTCATGCGAGACTGTCTGAAAGATTATTAATTGATGTAACTTATATGAATGTGTCATATAGTCTAACTATCTTAGAGTTTGATTGGATTAGTCAATGAAGAGGGAAAGAAACTGAATCAGTTAGAAGGGGGGTTGGGATACTCTGGGGTAGTTGAGTGGAGCCAAAAGACTAATCAACACATAGATCAGTTACTCCGTTGATGTAGGGCTAAACTCAACTTTTTTTAGCTTGTGTCCCTCTCATCTGAGTCAGAATCGACTAGTATCCTACCCTACTTTACAATTAAGTCTTTCAAACTTTGCCTTTGTATGGGGACAAGTTGTCAAATCTTATGTTTCAATAATGTGTTGCCCTTTTGTTTTTTGTTTTGTTTTCATGCATTTCTATCTAAACGACAGAAGAAAAATTTTACATATGGAAAATGACCTCCATGTTGTGTAACCACTTTATACCTTAATTACTTGGCCCACTGAAAACATTTGTTAGCTGATGGTTTCTTCAGAGTGATTATGCATATTAAAATTGTTATTGAACTTGATAGAGGTGAAAATGACTTCCTAAATAAAATTATTTGAAGCACTTCAAGTGTAGTCTTATTGAATTAAATACTACTGTGCATGATTTTGATTGATTCTCCTTCATTTTTTTTTTATGTTGCCAGTACAACAACCTCTTTATTTTTAATTATATGTTAGATTTTTTGTTAGGATTGAAATATTAGCAAACAAATACAATATTTGCTCGTCCTTTCGAGGCAATTCAAAGAGCATATTTAATGGAATTTGCTTACGAGAGCAAGATTTGTCAATATTTTGACCGTCTTCTATATTAGTGGATCACATGAAGAATGATCAAACATCTTAGTAGAGTATGATTACATTTTTTTTTGGCATATAGATATTTTTTTGTGTTCTTAAGAAATAAATTTTTTATTGAAAAATATTTGTTATAATTTTCAATAAAACTTTTTATTTTTTATTCTTTAATTAATTTTGGTTAACATTTCTCATATTCTTTCAATAACATTGCAAAATTTTTTCAACGTAGCAATTTACCGACACAAACTAGGTTTTTTTTTATAAAGAAAATTAAATTTTGAGTTTTGAAAATGAAAAACAGTTATTAACAGAATTTTACCTCTTTAAATAAATGTGCCTAACTTACTAAAATTAGTTCAAGTTAAAGGTACCTAGTTTCAAATACTTTTAGATTTTAAAAAAATTATTTAAGCTTTTATAATGCCTTAAGTGCAATTTTTTTGTTTCATTTTTTAAAATAACTATTTTATAAAATTCTCTCAAAAATTAATAAAAAGATAATTATTTTCTAAAAATATAAATACAAATAGAAGAAGTATAAATGCAAACCATCAGCTTAAAAAAAATGTTCTGCATTCATAATTGCACTAGAAAAATCAGTTAAAAATAAAATTTTCAACATGGATAAAAAATAAATTATAAATCTTTTAAACTATTTTACTAACAATCACATCTTTCTCCATGTCTCATAGCCATACGATTTGCCATGTATCATTGTAGATTTGTGGTGGTTGGACATTTTTTTTATATTAATTGATTACACTTCATTTCATCGTGACACACACGGAAACTTGGGTATGTATCGCACTCACGGCCCACAACTAGTTATGGGCAAGCTTGTCAATTTTTTTTACTAGGCTGATTTGTCTATATCTCTAAATTATTAGTTGGGCTTGGAGGACATGACCATACATGGCCTTTATTCGGTAGCAATTTTTGAATTTGTAATTGAAGTGGATATGGAAAAATGTTTGTTCTATAAAAATTTGTTTATACATTATTTAAATTTTTTTTGTTTTTTTTTTTTTCTATTTGTTTAATAATAGATAAGTTTTTTATGTCATTATGTTGATTAATATCATTTACTGTTTTGTTTCAGGAAATTGGTGTCTGAAGAGTTGACAGAAATTACTATTGCATATTCTAATTGAATATGAAATATATATTTCTTTTCCTTGTCATTTTCAAGGTAAATCAAAACATTTTTTCTTGTTAAACAATTCATGTTAACACTAACTTTACGTTTAAGCAGCAGTTTCCAAAGAAGTAATCTAACTAGTCATTACTTTTTTATTTTTTTATTTTGCATATATTAGATTATCAAGAGGAGATTGACAAAGTTACAAGAGACTATGGGATTTCAAACATCAAATAGTACTAAACGGATAGCACAGTCAATTTTCAAAGCAAAGGAGGACTCAATTGATGCACATGAAAACTCATTAATTCAAAGGACCACAAAGAACTTCATTGATAATACTCAAACCAATACCACCGAATATGATTCATGGGTGGTAAGTACCAATCCAGTAAGCACGATTTGGATCAGTTCTTTTGTTTTAATTTGAAAACAAATATCTATGATTTTGAAATTAAGCAATCTCTCAAGTGATAAAAAATTCAACGGCCGAGAAACATGGTACGACAAATAATAAGTTCTTATATAAAAGAAAATAGTTATGTAGTTTTTTATTATTAGTGACGCATATATATGCACATGTCAAGATGTATTGTATATATTTTCACTTTGATTGAGATTTATTATATTTTTTTTTTCCTTTTCACAATTTATAATTTCAAAACATTTTTTTTTATGTACAACACATTTGCATGTGTGCATACACGTTCGTTACAAATGTTTTCAACACATTTTATTTTATTTTATTTTATTTTATTTTATTTTTTCTTCTTCCTTTCTTCAAAGTAGCAGTATAGAAAGCGTTAAAAGTTGATATATGTGTATAATTTGAAAATGCATAATCATTAATTATTGATGATCATTTTAAATGATATCTGTAATTTGTATGTATATATGACTGACTAGGTAAGGTACCCAAAATTGATATATGTGTGCCTAGTTTAAAAATGCATAATCATTAATTAGTGATGATCATGTTAAATGATATCTGTAATTTGTATGTATATATAACTAGGTAAGGTACCCTTCTGCATTGAACTCGTTTGATACACTTATGAAAGCAGCCACTGAAAAGAGGATCATCGTTTTTTTGGACTACGATGGTACCTTATCACCAATTGTAAATGATCCTGATCGTGCTTTTATGTCTGATGAGGTAACTAATTAAATACAACAATTCTCCATATAAACTACTTTTAACTTTGACATGTTACAACATTTAATGTAATATTTATGTGGTGCATAATGTAAATGGCAGATGCGTGCAACAGTATTTGAAGTTGCTACTTATTTTCCTACAGCAATAATTAGTGGAAGAAGTAGAGATAAGGTAAGTAAATTGATTCGGAACCGAATTAATTAATTAGTATAAATTTATTTATTTATTTAAATTTTTCTTTCTTTGTTTTATGATTTAGGTAAAAGATTTTGTGAAGTTAAATAATTTATATTATGCTGGGAGCCATGGGATGGACATAATGGCACCATCAATGCCAGTCAGATCTTCTGACAGCAAGGATTTTGACATCGTCCGTAACACAAATGTGAGTTATTTACAATGTTGAACCCTTTTTCAGAATGCCTATATGTTTTAGGAAATTGTTATATAAACAATATCAAAATGAACAAAAAAAAAAAAGAGGGAGAGAATTAAATATGAATATTGGATTTTATGTCATATAATGACTTTTTGTAGTATAATGTAAAAAAATTTTTTGGACGTGTCAATCACAGAACGATAGCTTATGGTGTTCGTTTCTAAAATCTTCAATAGCTTATATAGTTTATAGGAATTACTAAAGAGAGGTATAAATTAAACTAGTTTATATTGTCACTGTTTTGCCTTTTCTTTTAATGTAAATATTTTCAATTTTAGGATATTGAAGTTCCCTTTCAACCTGCGAAGAAGTTTTTGCCTGCAATTCGAGAGGTCAGCAAAGTTATTTAAGAACATTTTATGGTTTTGTATAATAATCTTTCCATCTTAATCATTGAACTAATTGATTCCATATAGTACATAGTAATTAATAATTTTCATCACTAACTCTTAAAAGATGAAATACTATTTGTTATTTTTTTTTAATTTTTTTTATGTGTTTAGTAGTCACACTAAAATTAAAACTAAATTATAACTAAAAACTTCATACATATTATTTCAACTAGTAATTCTTAGAATTATTTGTTAATTATAAATTTTTTTTTATTATGTAATATATTAAACTGAAGGCTCATAATTCAAGTTTAAATTCAAAGACCAATAATAATAATAATTAAATATTCAGAAATCTAAACAATAAAGAAAAAGTTATCTATTAAATTAAATGATACAAGAGAATCCCTAATAAACTCAAATTTCCATCAAACACTTTCATGCATATTATATACTCCCTGTCCAGTATACAACAAATTCAAGGAACGGATTTATAGCCAGAAATAACACCTAATTTATCATAAATATTGTTCAATTCAAATTACTAGTACAGGTTATGCGAGCTAGAGGTGTCAAATTTAATAATTCAAACGTGTTACAAAACTGAATGTTTGACTGTTTGTGCCGACAGTTATTAAGAAAACTAGAGAATGAAATTAAGGAAATAAAAGGAGCAATGGTAGAGGACAACGGATTTTGCATCTCTGTACACTTCCGGCAGGTCCAAGAAAAGGTAACCTTTGATTTCTAATATTTTTTTTATTATCATTCTTTCTTGACATTTCTCTTTTGCTTGAAAATATTTAGTAAGCAATATTTATTTACTTTTTTCAAAATTGCTCTAGATTTAAGATAATGAATGATGTTTAAATCCAGGATTATGACGTTTTGGAAGAGAAAGTGAAGTCTGTGCTTGAAAATAATCCACAATTTTGCTCAACAGAGGGTAAAAAGGTATCCCATATCATATGCATTTTTAACACTACCTGATTATGACAGATTCAATTCTATTGGTTTTCTCTTCCGTGATGAACAAAAGCACTGAATAATGTTTATTTGTAGGTTATGGAAATAAGGCCATCTATAAAGTGGAACAAAGGAAATGCCGTAGAATATTTTCTTGACACATTAGGATTAAGCAGTTGCACTGATATCCTTCCTGTGTATATTGGTGATGATAGAACTGATGAAGATGCTTTTAAGGTATGAACTTAGTCTAGTTTTTTCTCTTTTCTGCTGATACTTAACCTCTACAAGTATGTTTAGATGCATTACAAAAGAATAGCTAAGAAAAATTTATATTTTCTCCCTGCCAAAAACTAGCTTAATTGGTAATAACTTCTCTTAGTTGGTAATCTCTCTTGTGTCTTACCTGCATTAAAATAATAAAGTACCATGATGATATCTACAAATGCATACAATACATATTAGGTTTTCTTGGTCTGTCACGCAAAGTAATTTCAAAGAGGACATTTAGTGCTTCAATATTTGTGAATGACTGGGTTCAATTTATATGGCAATAAGGAAAATTTCTGATAGAATATTTCCATCACTTTACTCTTTGACGGGGATAATACCATGTATACCAAGTTGATAATTATATTTTGCCAAATTATTGCAGGTCATACAGAGCAGAGAGCAAGGTTATCCAATCATAGTGTCTTCAGTTCCAAGAGAAACCAACGCTTTGTACTCTTTGCGTGACCCATCGGAAGTACTAATCTTTTTGTCATGGTTGGCCAAATGGAAGAAAGCCTCTTACTAAAGTATGCCTTTATCATCAAAGAGGTTGGTGGTTGGTTTTGACCTTGCATAGGGTTGTGACTTACCCTAATCTAAACTTTTACATTATCCAAAAAAATAAAAAAGCAGGTCTTTAAATTTTGGTTAAGGCATGGATCATCTGAGAGAGAACTTTGCCAAGCACATAACAACTTCCCAAGATAGATTTGGAAAAGTGGGAAGATTGTTAGTTTCTTTTGAAGTAGTTGGTTTGTAAAATAACTCTGTATATTTCCTGCTTGTAAAAAAGATTTGGAGAAAGAATAACTTCTCATCTTTTGACATAAAGGTACACATAAAGTTCATAACATCAGACAAGGTATAAGTAGTCTTTTTTTTTTTTTTTGTTTAAAGTAAGGTAAACATAGTCTATATAACAATTTTCATACTAAAAACGATGCCCCAGACAATGGGGATGGTAAAATGAAGATAAAAATTAACACAAACTTTCTTCTCAGCTACTTGAATCCCTCTTCATGCCATCATAGAATGACACACCTATAGAGAGGACACATCAATATTCTCACTATTATCTGTTATCACACTGTCTTCTTCTGTGCATAAGTTTCACTTTTTCAATCTTCATCCTAGTAGGATGGTCCCTCTTATTGAGCCCTGTTGAATGCAACAAGTCATCATAAATGATCACTCAATATTCTAATAAGATATTTAGACAAAATCATCCACGCCTATAACTGATAAGCTTGAATTTAGTATCCAATCGTTTTCTCTATATTACAGGCTGTGAAAGGAAACAAACTGACATCAATGAATTTCCAGAAAAATAGATTTTCTGTTGCATCTCAAATTAATTCCATTTTATCTACCATTTATTGAAGGGGGTGTTAAAATATAGCATTACCCAAGGATTTTTGATGATGAGGAGTGATATTTAGTAGAACCTTCAGAATTTGCCACCTCTCTAATACCACTTCGTGAGTTTTCACCTCGACGTGATGATTCATTTGAACCTGAGGAACGGTCCAACACAAGCTACTTATTATAATGATGAGCTATGTATTTTTGTCATATGGATTCATGGTAAAAGCTGATCGAAAATGGGTAGTAACAACAAATCTCACTAGTACTAACTACTAAGCATCTGCGATGGATCATGGATGAAAGTCATATGGTACGTTGGCCACGTAGAAAGAACACATACCTGTCTTCAACTGACCAAGGATGGGAAAACTTTCTTTTGAATTCAAATTCGTATCTCCCCTTTCAGATTGTTTACCCTTCTGTTCATATTTGAGATTTCTGAGATAACGACTTCTGTGATGATGTTTTCTCCTGTAATACCTCTGCAGGAATGTAAACATGAAAATCATGTCATTTTCCAGAAAATGTTTCAAGACCAAATTTCACGAGCAACATTTTCCCCTAGTAAGACACAAACACAACCGAAGCACATGTGACTACACCTTCACAATAAGTAGCCCAAAAAGATGGTAAAAATATTAACTAACCTGGAAATAATTTGATGTGTTTGGCAGGTAAGTCCCGGTCCCATCACTAAATCTAGGAATCCAAAAACTACCACGTTCATTAGTACTCCCATGCAAGGGAGAAGCACGTCGAGGTGGCATCACAGGAACTGGGGTTTGAACATGCCCCGTATTGTTCATGACATCAGTAGATTTCTTATTCCTTGAAAGTTGTCCCCTTAAATGCATTTGCTGTGTAGTAGAGGGAGGAGGCAAGGACTCCAGTAGTTGTGGATTCTTGTAAATCCTTGCATATTGCAGATTCACCCAATAGCTTGGAAAATCACCATCCAAAATATCTGAACCTTCTTTCACAAAGTACCCTGATGCATCATAACTGGTATGATAAGCATGTTGAGTAGAATCCAAACCTACAATTGATGACTCATGTGGATAAAAATAACCTAGCTCAGCATCCATGTGCCCATCATTGGTGGCTGCAAAAGTAGTTCCAGTCTCAGTGGGGAGATTGTAGTATGAGAACATGTTAGGAACTTGAAATGGTCCAGAGGAACCATCTGCAACTGGTAACAAACTTTGGCTATCAACAGCTCTCTGACTTGAAACAAAAGGACCAGCATAAACAGGAGATTTCTCAGGAAATGATGAATTAGACACAATCATTGGAAGTTTCCTACTTAATTGAAGATTATGAACATGTGAAGTAACAGCTTCAGTACTTGTGATCTCACACAAGTCAGTGCCTATTGTTGATTGACCAATACAGTTTCCACTGACACCATCAGGTTGAGGAGTTTCTGAAGATGGTTCACTTGAGACATTAGAGGAAGGAAGGCTGGTCCCAGGGGTTGGAAGCAAAGAAGATTTGGAACCAGAACTTGCTCCAGTGTTCACATCTTTATTTATAATTTTATTGTCTGGTGGACTACTACTACCTTTTTCTCTGACTACCCATTTTTGTTGAGTAGTTACTCCATGATTTTTTGGTGTGTAACTTCTAGCACCAGAATGCAAAGATGAATTACCAGATCTGGAACCAATGTTAACAGCCATTTGCCTTTGCTGATCTGAGCAAGGTATTAACACGTTATGATTAACTGGTTCAGCCTGTTCTTCCTCATACAATGGAAACCATTCTGAAGGAAATGGAGCTGTGCCATGAGAGTAGGGCATATTGTGGCTTGGAAAGGATTCAAAAGAATGGACATCTTCAGGAAACACTTCAAGTGAGTTTTCATGTCCGTATCCTGAAGTTAAAACATGTGGTGGTGGTGGTTGTGGAAAAGATGCTACATCACTTGAATTCACATTCACTGGTGCTTGCAGATATCCATTGAAATTAGGATAATTATGCTCTTCCTGATGCATCAGCATTCCCTCGTCAACAGGAAAGACATTTTGTTCATTGACCACATAGCCATATTCATGATAATAATTGCTTGAAGTATTTTCTAGGTCATATGCATATCCATTTACCCAATCGAATGAAATCTGCCCAAAAGATTGCTGATTTTCAGGTGAAATTCCGGTGTTGTAGTAATGATGAGTTGGAGCTTCACTATACAAATGACTAAACTCTGAACCAGTATAATACCCTTGAAAGTGAAGCATGTCCTGAACTTCATTTGATGAATACATAGGACTTTGGGCTCTATTAGCTATTGCATTGTTCGTGGTATTTGTGTGCTCTATACCAGAGGTCATTGCACCAGTGAAAATGCTGTTATTCGTTGAGCTCCAAGTTTGAGAAGCAGCAGATACATCAGAGGTTCCAAACATTTTTGATTCCTCTAAATGGTTAGCAGGAATTTGGTAAATACCATGAGAAGCTTGAGTCAACTCAACCTCAGATTCATGACCAGTAACATTATTATTCTTTAAACAAAGATCATAACTGTGTGTATCCATCCAGTAACCATTCCCATTTCTATCCCATGTGTTTTTGAAGAACAAATCAAATTCAGCTATTATTTTATCTTTTGGACAATCCAGCAATCTCTCTATCTGTTTAGCACCAAAAGCAATTGCACTTTTTATCCTACAGAAGTTACCTGCAGAGTATATTGTATACATACATATAACCAAACAATCATATAAGAGACTTATTTAAATAGAAGAAGTAATACAAATGATAGGGAAAATAAACTACGTACATCATAATCTAAAATTATAATTTCTTATCAAGATTTCCATTTATGGGAGAAAATATATTTATCAGCCAAAATACCACATTTAAGAATATAATGCAGACATACCCTTATTGATGCTACGCCCCAAATTGTTGTTAGAACGCAAAGGATCAACAATGTTGAGGAATTTGGAAGCAAAAGGTTTCTCTCTGAGTTCCTGGCTGCTAGGCATTACACCATAGCAGGACTCGCAACCATAAAGAAATTGTTCTCTGAGCAGCAACTCTTGGCAATTCTTTCGTGGAGGCTCAGCTATCATGATTTTGAATTAAGGACAATGGGAAAAGAAAAAAGGTCATCAGCCACAACGCATAAAACATGTTAACACAGATACGGTGAACACAACAAAATTTTTTCTATACCTCTCATGTTTGGGAGTGAACTGATACGCACAGGTCCCCGCAAACTGATGCAATAATTCGTCCAGTCAAATCCACTGAATAAATCCAGAAATCGAAGAAGTACCTAAGATATGCCAGAAATGGAATAACAAATACATTAGTTTTCCTTGTTCCTTGCTCATAAGCCACAAATCACAATAATATATACAACAAAGTAAAAAGTTTGTCACCTCAAGTGGCCCAGCAAATGTTTTACTGTAAACATGAAAAACATAAATGACTAAAGTTTCCAATGCATAGGTTGAAATGAGTCCATGGTGAGAACCCAGGATGCGGCTCTCATAGTAACACCATGCTTTTATCAGTATGACACTTCTTTTGAATAAGTGGTCCTGTTGTATCATATAGTCAACCTGGAACAGAAAATTACTTGTTTTAGATCTCTGCAAAAAATTAGAAAAATAAATAATGAAAATAAAAGCTTTGACAATCAGAACTTCAGTAAGAGTGAATCACCTCCTCGAGAAAGCACAATGTTCCTAGACCACTGATTTGATTGAAGGATATATCAACAATATAGCTTTCCACTAAGCATTTTATGATTTTCACCTGCCATTTAAACAACCATAAGAGATACATGAAAGGTGAGAATGCAGACAAAACAGTTGGAATTATTCAAACCAAGTCCGATAAATAAATGTGTTGAATGTGTATCAGCAGTTGGTTTAGATTTTTAATTTGTTGTTTAACCAAGTCTTATGACCATGTATTTTTTACTGTTACTTATTAGTTGTTTACGTCAGTGGTTGTTTCAGAAGTTTGTTATTGCTTTTAAGAGTTCTTTCGATTACCAAACTTGTATTTAAACATATTACTATTCAATAAAATAATGCATTCCTCTACCTTCAATTAGTGAGTTACGTTTATCACACCAACACTTTGGTATACAAAGCCTTCTTAGAGGGACTTGTGAGTGAATTGAGTGAAACCCATAACAAAAAGCCTAAATACCTTGCTTCAATTCATCAAGTAAATGGATTCTGAAATGCCATACACAGCAATAGCACCTCTTGTGTTTGATGGTGAGAATTATCATATATGGACAGCAAGAATGGAGGCACATTTGGAGGGAAATGATCTCTGGGAAATTGTTGAGGAGGACTACAAAGTTCTTCCTTTAACAACTAATCCAACAATGGCTCAGATAAGAAATCACAAGGAGAAGAAAGCAAGAAAATCAAAGGTGAGGGCTTCTTTGTTTGCTGTTGTCTCAAAGGAAATTCTCACTAGAATCATGACCATGAAATTAGCAAAGGAAATGAAATGATCAAGGGAATGCAAGCTCTCAATCTGGTACGAGAATTCAAGATGCAAAAAATGAAGGAGTCTGAGCTTCTTAGCATTGCTAATAGAGTAAGATTACTGGATTCTAAATTTTCTAATTCACGAATAATTGAGAAAATACTGGTGACTATTCTTGAAAGATTTGATGCTACTATTACTTCCTTGGAGAATACTAAGGATCTGTCAAATCTTATCTTTATAGAACTGGTAAATGCTTTGCAAGTTCCAGAGCAAAGAAGAATGATGAGGGTTGAAGGTTCGGTGGAAGGAGCATTACAAGATAAATGGCGAATTAAACATGGATAGAAAAATAAGTGGAAGAAATACAATAAGAAAAATTTAAACACACAAGAAGCTACAACTAATACTGGCAACAGTAGTGGAGACAAAAATAAAGAATCTCATCTTTGCATGCAGTGTGGCAAAATGGGTCATCCTTTTTTCAAGACGACCTGATGTAAAGTGTAAAAGGTGCAATAAGTTAGGACATCATGTGAGAATTTGCAAAAGCAATTTTCAAAAAAAGAATGAGGCTCAAGTTGCAAATCAACAAGAGGAAAAGCAGTCGTTAGTAGCAACATGTTTTTCACGCAGCAGTTCAAGTGAATGTTGGCTAGTGGATAGCGGTTGTAGTGTTGTACCAACCACATGACTCACAATCAAGAGCTTTTCAATGAGTTGAAGGAAAGGGAACTATAGCCATTAAAAGTTGCACAGGTACAAAATTAATTTATGATGATTTATATGTTCTTGAAATTGATCAAAACTTGTTAAGTGTGGGTCAATTGGTTGGAAGAGATTTAAGGTCATCGTTGAAAATAAATTTTGTTTAATTAATGATGTCAATGACAAAGAAATTTTCAGCATCAAAATGAGAGGCAAAAGTTTATCATTTGATCCGATGGAGGAGGACCAAGCTGCATATCCAGCTACCATAAATGGTATAAAGGTTTGATATAAAAGGTTGGATCATTTTCATCATGCAGCTGTGTTGAATATGCAATGTAAGGAGTTGGTTCATGGCTTACCTCTCTTGGATTCTGAATTACCAAATTGTGAGACTTGTCAATATGGGAAGCAAGCGAGATTACCATTGAAATATAGTCAACTTGGAGAGCAATGAAGAAGCTACAATTGATTCACACAAATTTGGTCGAATTTCAAAGGATTGCTTCGCTTAAAGAGAGTAAATATTACATCATTTTCATGGATGATTTCAGCAAAATGTGTTGGATTTACTTTCTTAAGTCTAAGTAAGAAGCTGTAGGTGTATTTTGGAGATTTAAGCAATGGATTGAAAAGCAAAGTGGATGTATGATATAAGCTTTGAGATATAATAATGGCAAGGAGTACACTTTAGCAGAATTCACCATGTTTTGTGAGGAAGCAAGCATTTAACATCAATTAAAAACTCTTAATACCCTAAACAAAATGGGGTTAGTGAAAGAAAGAATCGGACGATAATGGAAATGATCATGTGTATGTCTCATAAGAAAAGATTTCCTAAGGAGTATTGGGCAGAGGCTACAAACACTACAGTATTCTTGCTAAATAGACTTCCTACCAAAGTAGTAAATAAGAAGACTTCTTTTGAGGTTTGTTATAGTTATAAACCCTTGAAATTTTTTTTAAGTATTTGGATGCTTATGCTTTACTTATGTGCCATAGAGTAAGAGAGACAAGATAAACAAGAAAGTTGAACCTGGTATCTTTGTGGGGTATAGCTCAGTATCTAAAGCTTACAGGGTTTTCTAGCCTCACACAAGGAAAATTGTGATAAGTGGGGATGTGCACTTCATGGAGAATGAGCAATGGAGCTGGAATGATGCAGGAAAGATTCCAGTTGCTGACCCTTTGCTAAATCAAGATGAGTTAGTTGATGATGCATCCAAAAGAGGCACTAGATTACTCTCTAATATTTATCAAAGATGCAATGTTGCAATCTTGGAACTTGTAGGATACTTGGATGCAAAAGAAGATCCCAAATGAAGGGCTGTAATGCAAAGGAGCTTGCCATGATTGATAAAAACCAAACTTGGGAACTTGTTGGAAGGCTTGAACATAGAAAATTCATTGGTGTGAAATGGGTGTTTAGAACAAAGCTGAATGCAAATGGTTCAATTAACAAGCATAAGGCAATGTTAATAGTAAAGGGGTGTGCTCAAATTTTTGGTGTAGATTTCTTTGATACGTTTGCTATAGTTGCAAAATAGGACACCATTAGGATGTTGTAATAGCAAAACAGGACATCACTAGGATGCTGCTAGCTATTGCAGCACAAAAAGGATGGAAGATCTACCAACTTGATATCAAGTCAACTTTCTTAAATGGATTTTTAGAGGAAGAAATCTATGTTGAGCAACCTGAAGGTTTCTTTGTGGAAGGACATGAGGACAAAGTCTATCTATTTAAGAAGACTTTGTATGGTTTGATCATAGACCCCAAGAATCTGGTACAATAGGATTGATGAGTACTTATCAAAACTAGGATTTGTTAAAAGTCTTAGTGAGTCAACTTTATATATCAAAGGTGATCAAGCTAACTTTATTGTGATCTCTTTGTATGTTGATGATCTCCTAATCACTAGAAGCAATGTTGAATTCATTCAACAATTCGAAGATAATATGATGCAAGTCTTTGAGATGACAAACCAAGGGAAAATGTCCTATTTCCTTGGTATGGAGGTTAAGTAGAATGAAGGTGATATCTTCATTTTTGAGAGGAAGTATGCAAAAGAAATCTTGAAGAAATTCAACATGGAGAACCATAAAAGCATGAACACACCTATGTGTCAAAAGGAGAAGTTATGCAGGAATGATGGTTTAGAATAAGTGGAAGAAACACTTTATATAAGCTTAATTGTCTACCTAATGTATCTCACAACAACAAGATTAGATATCTTGTATGTTGTAAGTGTACTTTCAAAATTCACGAATTATGCAAAAGAACCTCATTTGAAAGCAGTAAAAAGAGTGTTGAGATATGTCAAGGGGACTTTAAATTATGGTATCAAGTTCAATATGTCATAAGATTTCAAGTTGCAAGGATTTTCTAATAGTGATTGGGCAAGGTCTTTGGATGATATGAAAAATACCTTAGACTACTGTTTCAGTTTTGGATTAGGGATTGGTGAGCCAAAAAATAAGAAATTGTTGCACAATCAATTGCTGAAATAGAATTTATAGCAGCCACAACAGCTACTAATCAAGCATTATGGCTAAGAAAAATGCTAACAGATTTGCACTTGGAGCAAAAGACAGCTACTAATTTAATGGTGGACAATCAGGCAGCCATAGCTATATATCTCTAGAAATTCAATCTTTCATGGAAAGACAAAATATTTTAGCATCAAATTATTTTTTCTCGGAAATGTACAGAGGGAAGGTGCAATGTGCTTGAAGTTCTATAAGACTGAAGATTAGTTGTCCGATATCTTCACCAAAGCTCTTCCAAGAAGCAAGTTTGAGACATTGAGAGAGAAACTTGGACTTGTCAACCATTAGTTCAAGGAGGAGTGTTGAATGAGTATTAATAGTTGGTTTAGATTTTTTATTTGTTGTTTGACCAAGTCTTATGACCGTGAATTTTTATTGTTACTTATTAATTGTTTATGTCGGTGGCTATTTCAGAAGTTTGTTATTATTTTTAAGAATTTTTTCAATTACAAAACTTGTATTTAAGTAAATTATTATTCAATAAAATTATGCATTCCTTTGCCTTCAATTAGTGAGTTACGTTTATCACACCAACAAATTGGATTGAACTTGTTTTAAATAATAGCAAATAAGAGGATGTTTATTTTTAGTCCTCAAAAATAAATCATCTCTTTTTTGTCCTTCATTTTTATAAATTTGTAACAGCATGTAATAATAACTTATTTTCTTTTGGTCTCTCGAATATAAAAATAAGGATTATATCAAACATATTTCATAAATCAAGAACTAAAATATATGTTTTTGAGATATTAAAAACAAATATTACTCTATTTACAAGAATGAAAAATATATTTAATTCTAAATAATTTTATCAATTACCAAATGAGTGGGAAAAATAGATGATCCATATGTTTATATAGATAAGATCAAATGTTAAAAAAAAAATAGAGCAATCCTTGATATTGCGGAAGGGACAGATAAAAAGAGAATCTTATACAATATTCTCCTGAATTTTTTATAATATTGCCATGATATCAATGAATTTAGCGTTAGATATATTATACATACATAATAATGAAAAGATAATACGAAGAATACACAAGGGTTTGATATCCATGCAAGAAATATTAATTTAAGGAAATATGCAATTCAATCTTAAATATTATTACTCTATCTAGTCTCACAACTAAAATTAGTATGTTGCTAACGTGCTAAGAATTGGCAAATTTTGCATCAATTTTAGATAGCACTAGCGATATTCATAATCCGGAAACTCTCAAAGTTGCACAGTCAAACAAGAGACAATTTCCCTTCTAAAGTCCATCAGAACTCATCACTTTATGCACATTATTATTTATTGTCAACATACGAAAATGCATTGGATAACTGTGAATTCAGCTAATAAGAATCACGTACCTCTGCACGGACATACTTAACCTCTTTCACATCAAATTCCGCATTATTTTTCTTCTCTTCTCTTTGCAAAACCTGCAGTACATCGTGGATCAGTCTTTCTTCCGATTGTTGATCATCACAAAACGCTGTTAGATCAATATCCCCATCTGGTAAATAGGTCTTTAACGGTACGGACCCAAATGCAAATACCTGTGATTCCAGAGGAAGAACATCATTTATTAAACAAGCATTAGATAGTTAAAGCTTTTGACTTTTGAGGTTAATTTTCTTCTGTTTCGTGCTTTCCTTCCATGTGTTCAGGGACGGAGAGACATAAGCAACATTTAAAAGTAGATGATTGAAAGACAAAATACGTCAACAAGTATTGTTGTTTAAAACATGATATTGTGATTTGTGATGGGTTTATCTCAACTGAAGAATTCACCATACTTTCACTTTGATCTCGTCATAATAAAGCTTGCAGTTGCAGTAAATGAAAAATAATAAACATGATTTTTTTTTTTTAATCAAGACTCGTATATTACAAGCTTTTAGTATAGTGGATGACACTGAAGACAAGTTCAAAAGTAAAATTACTAAAGGCTACGTTTTAATTCCATCGCTAAAAGATTATTTATTAATAATTTTTATAAAGGAAAAGGATCACTTGACTTTTTACAAAAAAAAACAATTAATATTTTTTCTCAAAATTTACTTTATGTCTCAAATATAATTAAATCGACCTTAATTAATGACGGCAGTAATAATAACTTTTCATTAAAAAATGTTTCAAAAGTACCAAAGAAAATCCAAAGTAATATATATTAATTAGATTGATTTCTTGGTGTTAAGAATATCTACCAAAGTTTAACTTGATTGTTGTGTAATAATCTAATCAAAATTTTAGATAAATTTTTTGCATTTAATCTTCAGAAATTACTTTCTATTAATCATACTCGACATGAAAAAAAATCGATATGTCAATCAATATCCTATATAGTTAACAAAGAATCTATATGCTCAATATGCATATATATAGTTATAAAAGCCTAAAATCCACAACTATTTTATATCATAAAGGACTTAATTAACCAGAATGGTAGTATGCCATAAAGTAGGAAAACCAACTATAACTAGCTAGCAATATATGCAGCAACATGATAAGGTTAAAGTAATATTAATCATTTGATATCAACTATAATCAAGGTTTTAGATTGACATTGTGGTCGTAGTTTTGTCATGATCCTTGATGTTGCCTGTAGCTGTAATATTGTGATCACCATGCGGTCACAACAACTCCAAAAACCTTACTATAATTAATGTGCATAAAAAATACAAGGTAAATCATACGCAAAAATGTAACACTTGAAACCGAAACTATGAATTAGAGTTTTGGCATGCACCTGACAAGGGGTACGCTTCATGATCAGTAATCGTAGGTAAGATACGACAGCATTTCGACGTGCTTCTGTTATGGGGTTGGGTTGAATATGTTCAAGAAGCTGTGTAGTTCTAGCTTCAGCTTGTGACCATCTATCCTGGTCAAGCACCTTGGTAACACAGTGTGCTTTACTAGACAAGACACCGTTTAGAATAAAGTCACTCCCACTCTGCATGCCGTGTTCCTCCATATATAGAGTCTGCTTTTGGACAATGCATATCAAAGTGTCAGAATTTGGCAATATTACTATCTCTCAAGAAGCTACACAATTGAGTCCGTAAATAGTGTCTAGTGTCACACTCAATTTTCATGCTCACTTTGGCATAGATAGTTGCCTTTCTATTGCCAATTGTTAATCTACCAACCAAACAAGAATGAAAGATTAAAACTTGACATATATGAGATATTTGTAACTGTACATGTTATTGGTGTCTAAACAGTCCTATCTCTAGGTATTTTTACCTCTTTTGACAAATAAATGAAAACAATGATGCGACGTTATAATATTTCTAGAATTCCTCAAATAAAAAAGAATTAGTCTTTTTCAGGTTATAAAGACAATAAGACATTTAGAAAATAAAGAGAGAAATGAGATTGCTTGCTCAAATTTATTCTAACATTCCTTTTCGCTTGCTTTGATGTATAATCCTTGCATATAATAAAAATTTAGAAATTAAATAAATAAAAAAATAATTTTCATTATAGATATATCTCATCCTTTTATAATTTATTTTTATCTCAGTTTTCATTTTATATCTTTAAACATATTACATGTCATATTTATTATTATTTTTTCTTTCTCTTTATCTCTCATCTCTCTTTTCTTCATTCTAATTTTTGGACAAAAATAAGATAAACATATCACATGTCATATTTATCATTTTTACTTTCTCTCAATCTCTCTGATGGACATCACATGTCACATTTATCAAAAAAAATTTCTTTATCTCTCTCATACAATTCACACTCTCAAAATGGGTTGATACTTTTCCATAAAAAGAGTAACATATATGAACAAATTTATTCTATCATTTGCTTGCTTTGTTGGATAACCATCTCATATAATAAAAATTTAGAAATCAAATAAATAAAAGAGTAATTTTTTTATACACATCACACTTCTAGAATTCACTTTTATCTCATCTTTTTTCTTTATCTCTCCTCTATCTATTCTAATTCATGACTAATATCTATAAACATATCACATGTCATATTAATTACTTTTTGTTTCTTTTATTCTCTCTCTTCTCTCTTTTTCAACCCACATCCTTAAAATATGATAGTTGGTGATACTTTTCCATAAAATAATGTAACATATATTATTCAAACACTCCCCACATATAAAGTAACAGCAAGTTCTACTGTAAACGTTGAGCAAGTATCTCCAAAGTACCGATGAATTCAGAAATTTTATGCTATGAAAAAAATACATATATAAATTAAATTTTTATGTTACATTTCAAATTATTAGAATAATTTATATATATAATTATGCATAAAAATCATATAAAAATATAAAAATTCTGGAAGTAGTTGCCCCTAAAGTGCATCAAGTAAATCTCTAAAACCATTTTCAATTTCAACTTTTCATGAAAAGAAAAAATCTAGCAGGGAGAGCATCGGTGCTGTGAAACCATTTGAAAACGACATGAACACAGTAAGACCCAATAAGACACAGGATCCTGGTGGGACCCACCTGACGAATGAGGTCCACCTTGATTCTGTTCCTTTTTCTCTCGTTTCACTATTCGAGATGATGGTTTCTGAACAGAATATTCTATTCAGCTAGAAAAGCTTGAAACTTTTTTTTTTATGTTCAATTCAATTAATCTATATTAGTCAAATCCATCATTTTCAATCTTCTCCATTTCTTTTTCACAGTCCGACATGGTCAATAAGACAACAAGCAAACCTCGTCACCAACAAAAAAACAGGAAATATAAAAAATAAATAATCAAAACAATAACAGAGATTTTCGTGTTGAAAACAAGTGAAAATCCATGTATGAGAAGAAGTTCCAGCATTCAATTAGGTTGAACAATAAAAGTAAAAGAAAAGAGACACAAATTAACGTACGAATGAAGTGTTGACGAGAAGTGACGAATGAAGGAGGAACCTACTGAAGCAGATTATGACGTAGGAGTGTAATTTTTGATGGCACAGATTGTGTGAGTGACTATGACAGAAGTGAAAATGAAATGACAAATTGGGTATATTTATATTTATAAACCTTAACTCATGAAGTGGCTGAGAGAATTAGGATGCCAGACAAACTACAATAAATACCAATACCATTACCCTGTCTCTGGTTAAGAAAATAGAGTCTCATTTATTCTTGTTAATGCATTTAATTTTTGCATACACTTACCCTATTCACTAATTAATTTTATTTTTAAATAATTATTATAGAAGTCAGTAATCTTATCATATATGATAGTTGATGGTTGATTGACAAGTGACAATATAAAAAAATCTTTAATATGTTTTAATTAATTTGTTTATATTACATCAATATTCATTCATACTTTTCTGTTTTTTATTCTTATCTTTGTCATGATTATATTCATCTTTCTTGCACAAAAACGTTTCTTAAAAAAAAAGTCTGTTCTAAAAAAATAAAATAAAAAGTTAATAATTAAGATGGAAAATATTACTATCCAAGAAGAGAGAAAAGAAACCACTGAATTTATTTTCTCCTTATACATTGGGTGAGGTTAAAAATAAATAATTACTTTATTCTTTTCTTCTTCTTCTTTTTCTTTTTACTTTACTGTAAAAAATAATCTTTTATATCTAACTCTCTATTAGTTTTAATTACAATATGTTATTAGTATAACATGATTTTATAACACTTTTCATAATATATTTAATATATAATCTTATACTTAATTTTTCTCAATATATTTTTTAAAAAATTTAATGATATTACTCTAATGAATTTTCTTACTTGGTCTCTATTTTTTCTTTAATTTTTTTTTATTTTAGTATAAAAGGGTTATTTTTCCTTCTTTAGTCTCTGAATTTTTTCTTCAAGTTTCCATAAGTTTTTTTTTAGTTCAATTATATTACTATAAAGATATATTTTTATTTCATATTCAATTTTATTTATTCATTTTCTGGTTTTATTATAAAAATAAAAAAAAATTTCCTTTTAAGTTTATGTATATTACTTCAAAAGAATTTTTTCTTATTTAGGATTTATTTCTTTTTTATTTTTGGAAACTTATTTCTATTTCAAAAATAAATTAAAAAGTTTAATAAGAATAGTTTTTAAAATCTATTTTCAAAACTAATAATCTTTTTTTAAAACCCAGAAAACTAAACATTTATAAGTTATTTTGGTTTTCTATTTTCAATTTTTTTATTTGTGCTCTTTCTTATACTTTTACACTTAATTCTTCAATTTTTATTCTCCATAAATTAATTTTAAATTTTTTTTTATAAGATACTAATATTTAAAAACTGAATATAAAAACACAATCAAATACAACCTTAGTCTCTAATTTTATTTTTAAGAAATATTAATTTTAATGTAATTAAAAACTTTTTAAAATTAAATAGTCATGTATATTTGTTGTACAATTTTAATAAAATAAAGACTTGAATATATTGTTAATTTCTCAAATTTAGAATAATAATTTTTTTAGTCTTTTAAATTTAAAATTTATCCTTTTAATTCTCTTATAATTTGAAGAAGAAAACTTTATTTTAATCTTATAGTCAAATTTCGTTAATGAATCTGTAAAATATTATTATACAAATTCAATTATTTATACCTTTATACTAATGATAATATCACATTAAATTAAGTCACTGCTACATAATTGTCTCAATGTATCATTATCATATATGTTACTTGTTACTTGTGACCTGGAGAACTAAAACAACATTTTTAATTTATTGAGATTTAAAATTTTATTTTTAAATTTGAGAGATTAAAATTAAATTTCTTCTAAATCTAAAAGAATAAAAATATACTTAAAGCTAAAACAAATCTTACATAATTATTTTTAAATAAAATTTCATTGAATTGAAAATAATTATTATAAAATCAAATAAAATTTCATTGAACAGAAAACACTAACCCCGCCTGTACATTTTCTGTTCAAAAATTTTTGAACAAGAAACGCCAACTTTGAGTGCGATTTCTATTATCCAGTGTCACCCTAACACAAATTCGATAAATAATTTTTTATTTTTGTATTTTATTTTTTTATTTACATTGACCAAAAAGTAATAATAAGTATTTATGTAAAAAAAAAAAGTAATAGTAAGTATTAAATTAACATAAGTTCTAATGTTAACATATATGAATGAAAAAGATTTTTTTTTTTAATAATTAAGAGATGTTTATATCATTGTAAATATATTTAATATAATATATTGATGGCATATATAATAAAATAAAATAAAAGATAGATTTAAATTAAAAATTGTCAATCAGGTGTTTTATTTATTTAAATATAAAAAATATAATTATGGATGAATTCAAGTTAAGAAGATAACATTAATTATCAAATTTATGTCAAGTTGACAATAACAATATCAAATAAGCAAATGATTACTAATCACTGTAATTATGATAGAAACGGTTTACTCTAACATCTGTCGGTGTGTAACAGAAAGATACACGCATCCTAACTTTGAGTAAAAGAAAAATACAGGGTGAGATATATTTTTTTTCTTTTTGATATTTTTTTAATTTAAATTTTTAGTTTTTATAGATTAAAATAAATTTTTTAATTATTATATTTTAATTTTTAATCTTTTTATTTTAAAATTTAAGATATTTTTTCTTTATATTTATAATTATTTAATTCTTTTAGTCTTTATAATTAATTTTTTTGGTAATATTTAGATGTGATAAATATATTAATTTAATTTTTTTTGTTTAATATTAAATTTACTTTGTTAAATTATTTTAAAATAGGTCTCAATGTAACATTTTTCTATTTTGTTTTTTCTTGCAATATTTATTATTGAGACACATTTTTTTATCTTCACAAAATTAAAAATCTCTACAACATCAAAAAAAAAATAGATAATATTACAAAAGTAAATTAAGATAAAGATTAAAAATATTACAAAAAATTATAAATATAAAAATTAAAAAAAAATTGTATAGACTAAAAATAATTGAAAAATAAACATAGAAATTAAAAATGTCTATCTTAATTATAAAAACAAAAAATAAAATAAGTGAAATTATAAGAACTATTAAAAAAAATATTTTAAACAAAATTAAATAAAACCTAATTTCACTTTACTTTTTTATTAGTATTTCAAAGGAGTAGGAGTAATAAATAAAATTAAATCAGTTAAATTTGATTATAATTTGATCTAAAAAAATTAATCTAGAGAAAAAGTCGGTAGTGTAAATCCATAAAGGATAATGATTTTGATAATATATTTTTTTATGTTGAATTCATTTTACTTGTTATTTATTAAAGAATAATATATATATACAATAATTTTTATGATAGAGATAAAATAATTAAAATCCATAAAATGATGCGCATTTAACTACATGGTGATGTTTTGGATGTGACCCTCCATGGAAGGTAAAGTTAGCTAATTGATGTGTGTATAAATTATCTTTGCATTCATACTTTAGTTTAGGCCATTTGCATATATTATTGTATTGTTTGAATGATTTAGGTACTTTCTCAAACCAGAATCATGAAGGGCTAAGTATAATTGCATACATACAATCCCAAAGGTAGCACATACTACAATTATATTATTTCCTGCATGAATATGAGATGCCTGCAGAAGAATTAGTACCATGTAGTGTTGTCAATTAGTAAATATTCAAAAGAGTGTGTTAGTAATATCTTTTTCACAACCAAAGCCAAGAAGAGTACTCACCTTGTTTTCCATATTGCTTCTCTTAGTCATTTTTTCTTGATTTTGCATATGCAAAGGTTTACCATGCAGGAGATATGATGCTAGCACCAGCAAGTCCTGCTCAAGGAAGGTAGCTAGGATGGATGCAAGTGACAGCGTCATCTCTCCTGCGTGGCAAACCTTTTCAATGCCATAACCATAACTACAGCTTCAATCTTCACTATCACTATATATCATGTATTCTAGGCCAAAGGACCAACCAATAATATATAGACCAGAATTTTCACAATTATTAATTTGCTTATCCCAACTTGGACTCTCTCACCTCAGTACATGGTGCTAAACTGAGTAAATTCTAACCACAAAGGTGCATAGCCATTTTCTAAATCATTATTGTTTGCATGTGTTTTCTTGATTGTGTGGTTCGGATTCACGTACAGGACTGGTCTTGTACAGAAATATAACAGCGATGTTTAATTGGTAACAAAAGAAGAGTGGCATGCTTTGTTGTTATTGTAGCATGTGGTCTGGATTCCAATACCTTAAAAGTGCCATTTATGATGAGGTCATGGCACTAGCGTCACCTGCAGACACATCAACGTCCACAAAAAACTGCTGCAATAATGACATTATGGCCTTGTTGGCGTGCTGTAATGTTCACCAAGTCTTTCATTTTCATGTTGCCCTGTATAGTGAATGGATTCATGCAATGACATTTGATGTGTGTATAAATTATCTTTGCATTCATACTTTAGTTTAGGCCATTTGCATATATTATTGCATTGTTTGAATGATTTTATCATGTATTATTTTTGTTTTATATTACACTTTTGGTTTTCTTGTTTTTCTTTGTAAATAAGTGTTTTAGGTGCTTAAATCATTGTTTAAAGAGAGCAAATATCAAGATGGAAGAGTTGAAGTTAGAAAATTCCACAAACAAGTTGTGGGCTTGGGCCAAATGAAAAGAAGAGGAAAAGACAACTCTTAGGAATTAAAAAAAAAAGTATGAAAATAAAAGAGGAATAATTAGAAGAAAAGAAAAAGAGGAGGAGGAGAACTGATAGTCAGAGAGAGGAACGACTCATCAAGAGAAGATCAACTCACCATCGGAAGATGAACGTCAGTCTCTTTTAGTTTTTCCTTTTTCATTATGCAAAACTAATTTTCTTTTTGTTAGAGTATTGATGTAATATTCTGGATCATAATTTCTGAACCTTTTCAATTGATGTTTGGTTAATTTTAATTATCTCAGTATTCTATCCATGTCTCTAATGTTTATTCTATGAACAATTTTACAATTGAGAGATTGAGGATTGTT